CAGTATAGCGACTGGTACCTGTGTAACATTCCACATGAAAACTTTCTTCAAGGTGTGGACTCCAAGTCCAACCCCGAAGCTGTAAGACCACTCTTTGATTGCCCTTCACTACTCCTTTTTGAAAATATTCGCGCCTAAGATCCACAATGTAAGATCCACTCGCAATGCAAGGAAGCGCAGAAAGTGACTGTAGCAATGTTGCTTTCATTTATAGCCTTTTATGAAAAGCTTTTATGTGAACTTTAACAATGGAGCACAGTTGTAATATCTAAATACACTTTCCACTGAGTAAAATACTGCGGAGCCCGTTACATTTAATGAGTTACTTTCCAGCCGACAAAGCAAGAGATATATATATTGTTACGTTTACAGTGTTATATAGGGATATAAAAACTGTCATTTGTACAATTAATGTATTTCTGGACATTATACATATTCCTGTTTCTATTTAAAACATACAACGTTTCGGAGACTGGATTCTGTCTCCGTCTTCAGATGAGTAGTTTTCACTTGAAGGCGGGGACATAATCCAGTCTCCGAGACGTTGCGAGTTTTATTTAAAAAAAAAACAGAACGATGGATAATGTCCAGAAACACACTAATTATATTAATATACCATGGTCACAAATTTCTACATCTTAGTAATTATGGTTTTGTTGCGCTGCTGTTACTGCTACATCTCTAAGCTGAAATAAACTGCTCTTTCAATAAGCGAAATTTTGTTCATGCTCTTCACTGGAATGGGTAAGAGCAATTTTCCAATATTGTCCAGAACGCGCCCACCAATTCTTGCCCTGGCTAGGGTAGGTCTAACTACTACCATCTAGCACCTATTTATCAGTTTATTTTGGACAGTGGATTGTAAAGGATGAGAAAGGTACTTAAAATACCGTAAAATTAATTCGATTGGTAAGAAGAAATTTGAAACACGTAAAATTTAGAGATAAAATGCAAAATAATCTATCAGAACCATTTGGAGCGTTAATGAGCCTAAGATAAAAGATGCCTTCTCATGTATTTCATTTAGCTTAACATAAAAATCCCCCTCGTTGGTGTCTCCACCTTATCGTGGTGAGGGGGTTTGAGTATGCCAAGGACCCTGAGAGCTATACCAGCGGNAAGAGAAACCACTTGTGTCGCCAAGACTCTTGTGTGTGTGTGTGTGTGTGTGTGTGTGTGTGTGTGCGTGCTCCAGATCCTTTTCCCCCTACCTCGCCCATCCACGTCTTATTCTTTTGTTGTGTTCTCATTAACTGTGGCCCCTTGTTCAGCTCTCGATATTGGATCTCTAGTAAACATGACCTGTATGAAACCCGAATCTTTTCATCATATCAAGAGGAGCTGTACAACATGTCATTTGGATGTCCCGGGCTCAGATCTCGACTCGGAGGCCGCCTATGCTTACTGAGATTGTTCCTCATTCCCTGAAAACAGATGCCGAGAATGTATAAGGGGTGGGCCTTCTTGGCCCTTGCACCGTGACCGTGCAGCTAATACCACATTTGTCAATACAGAACACACAGAACACAGCGCAGCTGCTGTTTATTGCCGTCGTCTCTAGCAACCTCTGTTTACTCGCTTTGCATAGCGACCAGTGTGCTTGGACTCTTCGCACTTCGGCTCCGCTCGGCACGTCACCGCTGGAGGGGGGGGGGGTCTCCATAGCTCAATGCGTCACAATATTAATACAACGAGGCTTCTTGCAAAACTTCGCTTCTATGACTTATGTGAGCTATGAGAAAATCAAAATTTTCTTTCAGCTGTAAACGAAAATAGTCTTCGTAGATTCTCCAGTGATTGAGGTTAGCTCTTTCTAAACGACCCAACAGATTAGGCTTCTTCCCCCCTCATCTGAGGATGGGAACAGATCCAGTTTCCGAAACTTGTGTCTCTAGTTTCTAGAGCGTCGGGCGATATACAAAGTGGTCCAAAGGACTCAGTGCAAATGATATTCATAAGTAAATTTTTCCTATTTAAGGTGGGAAGTGTTTGTCGCTTAAAGTGGTGCACGACTGGATGGCAAACGTTTCGCTGATGACGAGGAGGTTGAAACGGAGTTGCGGAAGTGGATGAGACAACAATCAAAAGACTTCTATGCTGCGGGTTTCGAGACACTGGTAAAGCGATGGGAGAAGGGTGTCAGTGTTGGTGGAGGATACTTCGATAGTTCCTTTTTAATGTTCGAATATCACATGTTTTACATTTTATATCCATTTGTGACCCATTTACTGACTCTCCTCGGTACATCGAGAGCAGAAATGAAGCGAAGATATTGTCTCTGTCTCTCTCTTCGCTTACTTTATGAATAATTCGGACTACCATAACTTCACTTGAACGAAATCCACCCCCCCCCCGTCACTGCCAGTGTGGCGGTGGACTCTCAGTGCACTAAATCGGAAGTTTAATGGACGTTAAAAATTGTGCTCACTCTCTTAATTACCTAGTTTTCATCGAGTGTCGGTGCTTGAAAATGAGACAATGAAATGCAGACCAACGGTTGTTTCTTTGAAAGTGAATAATTTGCTAGTTTTCTATGGGTAATACACTGGGCTCGTTTCTGGTTACGCGACTCCAACTCACTATTCCGTATATCTGAAACCTGCAGTTCTTTTTTTTTCTTCTTGGTACATACAAAATTTACTGTAAAAAATATTATTTACTGATGCGTTGTCATAGCCTCGTTTGTATTGCTTGGCACTGTGTAGGAAGATTCCCAATAAGGCATGTTTTCCCTAAACTCAGTGCCCTCGTGAAGATGTGTTGCTGTCCAAAGGAAGCTTTGAGACGTCATTGTAACTTATGCTATTTGACTTATCACAAAATAAAACCTTAAGTATCATGGAGAGATGAAATTTCTGGCATCCAGAATATTGTAACAGATTTCATCAACGCATTACCACGCAAGAGGTCCGTAAACACGGTCCAACACGCAACAATGAATGAGCACACGCAGTGAAGAATAGCAGTGGCACGCACACAGGAAGACTACACAGGATAACACCTATATAGTGTGGAAACAAGAACTAGCCGCTGCAGTACTTTAGATATAGGGTGACTAACCCTAACAATTTTAAATTTTAAAATTTAGAGAAAAATTTTAAAGGATTTTAAAATTAGAACTAAAGAGTTTATAGTGCTACTACAGGAAAGTCAAAATTAACGTGTGTAAAATAATCTACAAACCAGACAGATATCAACGAAGTAGATGTTGATAATAACAAGGAAAGTGTTTGTAAATGTTAAATTTTGGGATGGGTGCAGTGTGACAGCAACGTGAGTGTTATACACCTGATGATGGCCGTCTGAGGCCGAAACATGTAGTGTAAAGGAGCAAGATCAAGGACACATAATATATTGTTTGCACTTGGGACGGAGTTTATATCATTATATCATTTACTGTGCTTTCCATATCCGCGTTGACGTCACGCAACGGTGTGTTCTTGTCACGTGACGTGTGTTTCCTGTGATGCGTGTCAGCTCTTTGGCTGTATAAGTGACAGAAATCGTCCGCTTCAACGACGAGTCAGCTCTCGGTAGGAGATAGACACCGGAAGTTCGTTGTTGAAGATGAGTGCAAGAAGTCAGCCTGTGAAGATCTGACATGTGATTTGAAGACTTTCTGTGTGGTGTTGTACAGTATTGTTGGGAGTGTGTGATTTAGCGAGACTTTTATAGTTCCTGTTTTATAAATACGTGAGGACTAGTGCAGATAGTCTGAGAGGATTAGCTGGAGTGATTGTAAATTGTGTAAATCAACAATTATATTATAATTAGTTGTAGTTACGATCTGTAAATATCCAATAAATCCAATTACCACTCCAAACCCGCGTCTTAGTCACTGTGACACGTGAAAGTATATGTATTTATAAAAATATAATATTATGAAGGACAGCTGGGACAGCTTAGTCGGTGTAGCGACTGGCTGTGAGCTGAACGACCGAGGGATCGGAGTTGGAGTCCCGGTAGGTCAAGAATTTTCTATTTTCAACATTGTCCAAACCGGCTCTGAGGTCCACCCAACTTCCTATCCAGTGGATACCGGGGGCATTTTCCCCGTGGATAAAGTGGCAGGGGCGTGAAGCTGACCACTCCCAGCTAGTTTCGAGGTGAAGAAAATGTGGATCTATACATCGACTCCCCCATACGCCTTCATGGCATAGTGCTTAATTAGTTAAGCACAAGGACAATTTTAATTCTTATAATACTAAGAAGTGCCCTTGTTTTTCTCCTTAAGCGACTGCTTACTATATCTTCCGTTTTGTTTAATGCTAGTGGGGTGGGACTAAGTCCCTTGTACTGCGGCCATTTCTGGCCTATTGTACCAGCCCCAGATGATAGGTGAGGGTGAATGTGGAGCAATTGGTGGAGTGAAGATTGGCAGGGGAAATCGAAGTACTCGGAGAAAACCTGCTCCAGCGCCACTTTGTACACGACAAATCCCACTTGACCAGATCCGAGATCGAACCCGGGCGGCCTCGGTAGAAAGCCAGCGACTAACGGCTTGAGCTATGGCGTGGACTTATATCTTCCGTTAATTCCACTTGTGGTTAATAAAAACGTCATTAAGTAAATCAGAAAACATGGTAAAACCTGTTGGAAAGTTGCAAAAGAAGATGGGAGGGTGGAAGTGAAATAGGGCCTACCGAAATTGAAAATCAGTTAATGTGAAATGGATACAAATCTGAGGATGGCGCCCTTTACGAGGCTCTTCTTATTAACGGTATTGAATCTACGGGTACACTGTCTTAAACTGAGAGAGTGAGCTGGCTAATTATTAAAATAAGACTCGCAAGTTTGTTAGCAAGCTAGCGAGTTAATTAACATGTCACGTTATTTCTCTGTTTCACCGAAGACCTCTACTTACTGCCAAGGAGCGATTCATTATATTCAAAATTCTTGACATGCTCGTGGGTTATAATGCCACATAGTTCGAGAAAACCTACGTTTGGAGTAAACATAGGGAGCTTCAACTCTGACTCGACGCTTTTTCTGGTTCACAGAAAATCCACGTGCACCAGATCGACATCTGAAATCTGAGCATACACATGACGTGATGCTTCCACGGCAACTGTCTGAGGTGAAGACGTCCCGAGCGATCACAGGTATGAACATAAAGTAAAAAAGTAAAGTAAAGCTATCACTGTAACAGGCCATGAAGGCCCATAGGGTTGTGAGACGTTAAGGGTCCAACATTATATAGGCAATCGGCTCAAAGATAGCGGTAAGGTTGTCAGCCTTACGCGCCAGCCGCGCTTTACTTCCCAGGAAAATTATTTATTTAATTCCTGGTACTCATTTCTGTTAGAGGCTGAGTGAACCCCAGGGCCATAGTGCGGCCGGAAGGATTAGGTCAACTGAAAAAAATCCAATTACCTCACAGGTATGAACATAGAGATAATATCTAAATTTTCAGAGTATCATGTTCTCATCATCTTGTGTCCTGTTTATGATGGTTTCTTGCTTGACTTACCTTCGACACTGAACTTGGAAGCGATATGATTCTTCTAATTGCATGGTATTGTAACCCCCTAGTCACTGTCATGAGTACATCAAGCCCTTCAGATTTCTTGCTCAAGTTCAAAAGCTAAATATTATTTATGAAAGACATTATTCTTGAAATTAAGTATATTCGGCCTAAAAGATGTAAATTCTATTCCCCGCAAAAGTAATTAGGAATTTCTGCCTGAATAACATACCCACAACTTCTTCCGCTGTCGTCCTACTTCTTTCACACCGAAGACGGTGACTACGCTGAACGCCGAAATGTTTTAACGGTTCAAATGTACGACGTAGTTAAACTCCAAACGATAAAGTCACACATTAGATACTTGCCGCAGACGCCTAAAAAAATAATGTACTTCTGAATTTGTTTTTCGAAAACAGATAGACAGACAGACAGACAGACAAAGAGTGAAGTCAGGTGGACCGTGCAGCTGACTTGGAGAGTGCGCTCATGACATGGAGGGACAGTTCTGGCGTTGCGGTGTACACAGACACCCGCGGCCGTAAAATCTTAATGGTTCAACACCGCTGATAGCAAAGCCCGTCACTGGTCACGATCCTCGTGAATCATTTCCGCAGCACCCATATGCATATTACTTCCAGGCCGTGCCTTAGTTCAGGCGCTTAGTCGCCAGCTTCCCATCGCGGAAGCCCGGGTTCGAGCTCAGATCAAGACGTGTGGGTTTTGTGGTGGACAAAGTGGCACTGGGCCAGTTTCCTCCGAGTACTTCGGTTTTCCCTCCTAATTCTTATTCCACGGACTGCTCCACATTCATCATGTATCATCCGCGGCTGGTACAATAGGTCAGTTAGTGGACTCAGTCTCATACCAACCCCAAAAAGTAAAAAAAAAGGTATGTTACCTTCCACGTCATTTTCGGTGTTCTAAGCGACATTGTCACACCGAGTTCTCAGTGTGAGGATAATATCGAAATAGATTTCAGACGAAACTGAATTAGAATAAACTGTTGTAGAATTGTCTACATGAACACAGAACGGTGATATTAGCTAACAGTAAGGCAGCAACTCGCTTGTGGGCCGCGCTGTGTAGAACACATATATGCATAATCTGAGGTGACAGCTGGGGCTAGTGAAGCAGAGGCTCGACTTATATTTCGCCTCGAGGGATCTGAAAAGCCAAAACACACATTCATCGTAGGAGCATAGAAGACGCAGTCATAATTAGCTCATCCCTTCCAAGTGCCACTAAGCAAATGGTGACGTATCGACCCACTACTAGGCAACGACTCAGTAGACATGTTCCAGCGAACACGCAACAATGTGAGCCGTGTTCTCTGTGTACCATGCTACAACTTGTTGCTACGTACTACAATAATTCTGGCAACACGATATGCGTTTTCTATGTAGTCGGCGCCAAGCCAAGTGCATTGCATTCCAAGGTGACTGAACAAGAAATTGCAAAAAGATTTCATAATGATTTTAATTGATGATTCCTGTGATAAATTCGTTGCCAGGGAACGGATAGCATATCCTAGTGATATGTGAAGTTGGTAGATTAGCGGTAGCGCTGTAATTAATTGTGAATAAGAGAGATTGTAAAAGAAAGTGTAAGTAAATCCAATTATCCAATGCAGAACCCATTAGTATTCGTCACGGTACCTTAACACGTTACGATATAATGTGCAGAGAGAGAGAGAGAGAGAGGGAGAATATAATTAATGGACTCTTTCTTTAGTTCGCGGTAAGTTATTCTTCTTAGGGAGGGTGGGCGAAGTTTGGTTATCACTGTAAAATTACAAATACTATTTAAGTTATCAATATCAGGGTTGGAATTCCGAACGATTGGGCTGTAAAATTTACGTATAATGCAACCAGGACTATATGAGAATGTGCTTATGACGTGCAGTAACATATTTTATGTGCCTGGCTAAGCAATCCGTAAATCACAGGCACAAAACCAAATAATATTAGCTATTACTACTATATTGTAACGGAATTTATCAACGCGTTGCCAGGCAACAGCTCTGTAAACACGGTCCAACACCCAACAATGGAGGAAGCTGTTTCTTTCTGTAGATCCAACCGACGCGCCGGTTGACTGGTTGGTAGCGATCACGAGATATGTGTTTACTGTACGTTCATATCCGTTCCGCGTCTATATAACTATTATTTTTTTAATGCTAGTAGGGTGGGACTAAGTCCCTTGTACTGCGGCCACTTCTTGCCTATTGTACCAGCCCCAGATGATAAGTTAGGGTGATTGTGGAGCAATTGGTGGAATGAAGATTGTCAGGGGAAACCGAAGTACTCGGAGAAAACCTGCCCCAGCGCCACTTTGTCCACCACAAATCCCACTTGACCAGACCCGGGATCGAACCCGGGCCGCCGCAGTGGGAAGCCAGCGACTAACCGCTTGAGCTATGGCGCGGCCCAGTCTATATAATTAATGACAGAATTCGTTCAAGGCAGTTACTACTTGAGCAGCAGTAGCGGCAGTAGCACGCCAAAAACATGCAAGTCAGCTCTCGGTAGGAGATAGTCGCGGGCAGTTCGTAGTTAAAGAAGAAGTCGGCCTGTGAAGACCTAGCGTATGATTAGAAGATTTTATGTGTAATATTTGGAGTGTGTAATTCAGTGAGACTGTTATAGTTCCTGTGTTTTCATTGTATTACCAGGAGAGGACTAGTGTGTGTAAATAAAAAATGTGTAATAATTACTTGTTAATCCTTATATGGTTAATAAATCCAATTACCAATTCGAACTCCGTCCTTTTTTTTAATTCGCTTAGTGAGGTGTGGAGTCCAACTGGGTTCACTCGGCATGGCGGCCACTGATTGGCCTATTGTACCCTGCCCCGGGTGATTATGATGATGGAGAATTTGGTGGGATGAAAATTGGCAAAGGGAAACCGAAGTACTCGGAGAAAACTCGCCGCAGCACCACTTTGTCCACAACAAATCCCACTTCATCAGACCCGAGAGCGAACCTGGGCTGCCGCGGTGGGAAGCTAGTGACTAACCGCTTGAGCTATGGCGCGGAAAACTCCGTCCTTAGTCACATATTCATATGACAATACAGGGTTTCCGGATGAAAGGTATCCAAAATAAAATAGTTATACAGGTATATCAGAAAGCTTTTATTATACATATTTGAGGATTACACCACTACAAAGGGAAGCTGTCAAAGTTTTTTTATGAGAGTATAACTTTCTCAGTAAATTTCAAGTTGGGCTCCCTTTGTGGCACGACAAATATCCAGACGATCCAACATGTTTGTTGTTACCATAGCCACAGCGTCCCTTATGCGGGCTTTCAAGTGTTGCAGGTCCTTGATCTTAACCTGGTAGACAAATGTTCTTCACATAACCTCACAAGAAAAAATTCAGTGGGGTTAAATCTGGTGACGTAGAAGGCCAATCGACTGATCCACTTCTGCCGATCTGTCTCCCAAACATCACTCTGTCCAAGCGATCCTAACATGGTGGCAGAAATGTGGCGGCGCATGCTCGTAAGCCGGGCAGGGGGGGAAAAAATGCAAGGTTTTCCTTTCCGATGACATAAACCGGATACGTGTATGACAGTTACCTTCAGAGATATGATTCTTTTATTTTGGATATCTTTCATCCGGGCACCCGATATTTTCTAATCCATTTTCGTTCCAAAAATACTTTAATTAAAGTTATGAAATATTATTAGAGTAATCAAATAAAGAAATACTAAGTGGTCAGGATACGCACCGTTCATGGAACAGATGAGAAATGTTCCCAAAATTTTATTCGCAAGCTGTGCAGGGAAGTATGACAGGGTTACCTAGGCCGAGATGGAAGGTTATTGTTAACTTGATTGTATGTGTGGAGTGGTGGACTGAATTTATCTAGCAGGTGATATGGCCCGAACACGGTTTTATAAAACAATAGGGAATCCTCTGGCTTTGTGAAAAGCAAGGAATTTCTTAACCAACTGAGGGACAACTTCTAAAGAAGGTCATTCATTTTTTTTGTAACCGCGTAAACCTGGTGCTTGTATTCAGTGAAAACCGGTATATGTTTATGTAAAAAGCACCCTACAGACAGGAAGCCATATTTCGAAGTTATTTATGCTCTTAAACGATACTCCACTGTGTATTGTTGGACGCAGGAAAACAAAGTTTCACACATCCGCAAGCTACGCCGTGTGAGAAGCCGGAAATTATGTCTCAGGAAACATAGGCTGGACCAGAGCCTGGATGTGGCGGTGAAGAGAGAAATTCCAGCTGTAAGAAATCTAATTCAACACCATCCATAGGTTGTGATTTCATTCACTGACATATAGAATTGTGTTTCGACACTTCTGACTCAATTTCTCCACAACCAGCAACGTCAATACAAATTCCAAACAACATTAAGTAATAAGAATAACAAAAGAACACTAGAATCGCACAAATGACAGAGCTACTCGTGCTACAAAAAATCAAAATGTGATAGAGGAAACATAAAGAAGGGCTTATAAATTTGGGGAAGATTAATATCAGCTTTATCTTTACTTTTAATATTTTACTCGCCAATAAAATCATTCCATAGAAGTTATGGCTTGAGCCCCAATGTAAATAACAGTGCAGAAAAATACAGAATAAGCAATAAATTTAGAACATCGGGTGTGAC